TGAGGTGCCCTGGAATGACCTCAAAGGGGCAAATCTTTCAGTTAGCCAAACGTGTTAACCATTTGCACCACCCGATACCTAAAAGAAAAACCAAAACCCCAACCCAGCCAGTTTGAGTCCATTCCAGCTCTTAGCGACTCTATAAACCCCAGTAGAACTGCCCCATAGGGTTCCCATGACTGAACTCTTCAGGGAAGCCAATGGCCACATCTCTGTCCCATGGAGCAGCTAACCTTTCCGTTAGCAGCCAAGTGCTTTCATTCTGGTGCCACCAGGGCTCCTTTTGAACCACTCAATGATACCCAAATGAGAGGCCCCCCAGAGGGCACGTGATCAGAAAGGAGCTCCGGCTCTCTGCAGATCTTCCAAGCCGATCAGCCATTGGCATCCCTTTGGAACGAAGGGTCATTGTTGGGTTTTTCCAGAGCTGGCTGGGCAGAGCCCGCACAGGTAAACAGCAGGTGGTGTTGCAGTGGCCACAGAGCTAAACAGACCCTTCCTGGTTTCTCTTCATCCGGAAACAGCTATAAGAACTTGTATTCTTCAATTCGCCTGATTAGTCTGATTACCCTTGCATCACTCCCCTGTTGCAAATCTCCAGTTGTTTACCAGAGGTCTCAGGAGATGTGGAACTCTTCAAGCTCACTAAAGGATGCAGTGACTGAGCAGGGAGGGCCAAGCATGAGGCATCAGAGTCACCAGCAGTCTGCAGGCCACCTGAGATGAATCTGCCGTCTTAGCATCACCAGCTTTTTACCTACAGTTGTTGTTGTCAAGTGATGTTGAGTTGGCTCCGGCCCATAGCGACTGCATGGACAACAGAAGCGAACACTGCCCGGTCCTGCACCATCCTCACAATGGTTCCTATGCCTGAGTCCACTGATGCAGTCCCAGGGTGAATCCTTCTCGTGGAGGAGTGGAGGACTTCCTTCTCTTTCATCGCCCCTCCGCGTTACCAAGCATGATGTCTTTCCGCAGGGATTGGCCTCTCCGGACAATATACCCAAAGTATGTAAGACAAAATCTTGCCCGTCTTGCCTCTGAGGAGCACTCTGGCCTGCTTCTTCCAATTCAGGTATGTTTGTCCTTTGAGAACTTTTAATATTCTTTTCCAGCACCACAATTCAAATGCATAGATTCTTCTATAGTCTTCCTTATTCAATGTCCAACTTTCACATGCATAGGATGCAATGGAGGTTACCATGGCTTAGGTCGGGTGCATTTTTGTCCTCAAAGAAGCATCCTTGCTCTTCAATACTCTAAAGGGGTGGGGGGGGGGGAGGTTCCCCTACAGTTGAAATAAATCCTGTCCATCAGAACATAGGATTTTCCTACTGACTCGAGTGCCAAAGATAAGCGGTAGCCTTTTCATCTCCACCAACTTGCTCTCTGCCGTCACGTCGGTTCCGACTCACGGTGACCCGACGTACAACTGAACGAAACACTGCCCGGTCCTGCGCCAGCCTCACAATCGCTCCTCTGCCTGAGCCCAGGGTTTCAGCCACCGTGCCAGTCCATCTGGTCGAAGGCCTTCCTCTTTCACTGCCCCGCGACTTTTCCAAACATGAGGTCCTTCTCCAGGGACTCGTCTCTCCTGCCAACATGTCCGGCGTAGCTAGAAAAAGTCTCGTCATCCTTGCCTCGAAGGAGAATTCGGGCTGTACTTCTTCCAAGAGAGATCTTTTGGTTTCTTTGGTGCGTGGTACTTTCACTACCCTTCTCCAGCACCGTAATTGAACATGTATCGATTCTTCTTGGGTCTTCCTCATTCAGTGAGTGTCTGAGGCAACTAAAGGCAAGGAGGGAGTGAGATAATGCAGTGGCTGAGGTCTAGAGAGAAACAGCCTTGGCCATCTCCTAACCTGCCTCCTGGGGGTGGTATTCTCCATTCGCCATAGAACCATCTAGAAGGACAGCAGGTAGGCTCCCTACTTCCACCATTCCTCTCAGTCTCAGCACACTTCCTACTGCTGATTCTCGGGTGAGCGCATTCACGAAGGGACTATCGACCTAGAGGCCCAATCACAGTGTTGATACCTGCATCCTGGTCTATGTCTCTGGCTCCATCTCTAGTCTGGCCTGGGTCATGAGCCAATAAACCAGGTTCCGTTCTGCAAAGGGAAAGGTTCTTTCAAAACTATGAACCTGGCCATGGATGCCCTTGAACCAGTGATGACTACTCATCACTTCCGGGCCCCTCACACCTGCTCTCATCACTGATTTAGGGTCCCAAGGTCATGAAGAGGAGCTCTGGGGTGGTGTTCACATGTTGGGCGGCTAATCACAGGGCCAGCAGTTGGAAACCACCAGCCGTTTTGAGGAAAAAAGGAGGAATTTCTTATTCCCACAAAGAGTTTAGACTCTAAATTTAGACTCAAGCCAAGGACTTGAATTGGACTGGGCTG